AAAGGAGGCCAATCTAGGATGACAAGTGACACTTGGCTTCAGTGTCAAGGTGAGAATAGGAAGCAGTAGGGGCTGTGGGCAAAAGAGAGACATTCTTGGTCTCTTGGGGCCAGACTCTGACCACTTGACTGGTTGACATGCAGAATCACAGGCCCAGGGTTGCTTGAGTTTCGGGTCTCCAAGAGAAGCAGGAAATGCAGATTTCTATATGAAAGCTCCCAGAAAACAAATGCAGCCAACCAACTCAGAAATCTGTAGCCCTTGCCTACCAGTTTGTGACCTCTGCTTCGAGTCCAAAGTTCATTTTCTTTTTTTTTTTTTTTTTGTGAGGAGATCAGCCCTGTGCTAACATCTGCCAGTCCTCCTCTTTTTTTTTTTTTTTTTTTTTGTGAGGAGATCAGCCCTGTGCTAACATCCATGCCAATCTTCCTCTTTTTTTGCTGAGGAAGACTGGCGCTGGGCTAACATCCGTGCCCATCTTCCTCCACTTTATGTGGGACGCCGCCACAGCATGGCTTGACAAGCGGTGCATCGGTGCCTGCCTGGGATCCGGGCCGGCGAACCTCGGGCCGCCGCAGCGGAGGGCGCGCACTTAACCGCTTGCGCCACCGAGCAGGCCCCACCATTTTCTATGTTTGATTATAAAACAAGGATCTAGGGCCGGCCCCGTGGCTTAGCGGTTAAGTGCGCGCGCTCCGCTGCTGGCGGTCCGGGTTCGGATCCTGGGCTTACACAGACGCACCGCTTCTCTGGCCATGCTGTGGCCACGTCCCACGTACAGCAACTAGAAGGATGTGCAACTATGACATACAACTATCTACTGGGGCCTTGGGGATAAAAAGGAGGAGGATTGGCAGTGGATGTTAGCTCAGAGCCTGTCTTCCTCAGCAAAAAGAGGAGGATTAGCATGGATGTTAGCTCAGGGCTGATCTTCCTCACAAAAAATAAAAAATAAAACAAGGATCTAAAACAAGAGGCTCGTAGCTGGTACCTGACACGGTAGGCACTTGGGGAAAGCCCCCGGGCCCCCGCTGTCCCACCACCCAGGTTAAGTGGCCCAGAAAAGACCATTTCATTTTGTGGCTCGCCCTCCCGACCTCTGGGGGCCTTTTGTCTGCCTTCATTGCTGGGCGTTGGTGAGCGAGACTTGACTCTATTCACCCTCTCCTTAGCCATCTTTGTATCCATTTCTGCTGCCCACCCAGGCCAGAGTCTTGGATAACGTGCCCAGTGAGCTTGTTGGGTGTCAGGTAAAGGTCACTATGATTCCTGAAACGGTGTCCAGTTCCCCTTCACTTTTCTCCCTCTCCTCCTCTCAGTATCGCAGTTAAGAGTGGGACCCCTAGGGGCCGGCCCGGTGCCATAGTGGTTAAGTTTTAAGTTTGCACACTCCACTTTGGCTGCCCAGGGATTGTGGGTTCAGATCTGAGGCGTGGACCTACACACCCCCCATCAGGCTGTGCTGTGGCAGCATCCCACCTACAAAATAGACGAAGATGGGCACAGATGTTAGCTCAAAGACAATCTTCGTCACCAAAAAAAAAAAAGAGTGGGACCCCTAGAGTCACACTGCTTGGTGGCAGTGTGGTCTTGAGCAGGTCACTTTACCTCTCTGTGCTTCAGTGTCCTTGTCTGTAAACTGGAGGAAATGCTTCACTCAGGAGCTGTTAGTTGTTATCATTCTTCGGTTGGTCTCCTCTCACCTTACCAGGGGCTGTGCAGATAGTAGTGGTACAAAGACCATAGCCCTTACCCTAAAGGAGCATGACCTTGACCTAACTGTGTGCAGTAGTCAGCAAAGAGCTGACCCTGGGGCGGAGGAAGCCTTTCTCCTGTTGTTTTCAAGTTTCGAGATCATATGAGTTCCCAGGTACCCAGAAGGCTGTGGTCACAGGTGCAGGCTGCCCATCTCCTTTCTTTCCTGCTGAAGATTTGAGGCAAACTCGTGTCTGGACTGTTGAGTGGGAAAGAACGTGCTGGCTCTTCAGCACTTTCCCTGTGGGCTCACCTCCCTTCTCCTCTGAAAATTAACTTCAACCCAGGACCCACCTTCCCAGATGAGGGGAGGATCCCAGCCAACTCTCCTGTGCCAGTGGCTCCCGACTGGCCACTGAACATCCCCCTCTTTCTCCACTTTCCCAGCTTACTGTGGTCCTGGTTCAAGGGCACTTTCCCTGGGGAGTCCTGGTGGCCTTGTCTAGTCCCACGAGCTTCCTTCTTCACCCCCTCTGCCTCTGCTGAGCCGTGACCCTGGGGCATGGCTCCTGAGCTGGCTATGTGCCCGCTACTCCCAGATGGCCCCTCTCTGGACCTGTTTTGCTCACAGTAAACAGGAGGTCATCTCCGCCTGTGCTCAGTTTCCCCAGGAAGGGGCAGGACATGGCAGATGGGCTGCTAAGCCTCTAGCAGTAGCTTTAAATTTCACAATGAAACTTTCATTCCTCCCTTTTTTCCCATTCATTCAACATATTTATTGAGTGGCCACTGTGTGCCAAGCCTTGCTCTGGGGATGCATCAGTGATGAATGAGACGAAGTCCCTGCCCACACATTTGAGAGGAGGAAGCAGACGTTAAGCAAATAACCTCATTAATGAATATAAAATTATAGCGATAAATCTTGTATCAGAATGGAATAGAATTCTCTTTGACTATAATAAGCTGATTCACCCTAACTAGAGCTCAACTAGGCAGACTGTCAGGGTAGGGAGGAGGAAACGGATCAAGACATGCAAAGGCCCTGGGACAAACAGGTTGGCAGTTGCTCAAAAGTTGAACGCAGAGTTACCAGATGACCCAGCAATTCCACTCCTAGGTACATTCCCAAGATGAATGAAAACACGTCCACATGAAAATTTGTACATGAATGTTTATAGCCTTGTTATTCATAATAGCCAAAAAGTGAAACAACCCAAATGTCCATCGACTAGTGAATGGATAAGTGAAATGGTGTTTCCATACAATGAATACTATTCAGCCATAAAAAGGAATGAAGTATGGAATCACGCTATAATATGGATGAACCTTGAAAAGGTTGTGGTAAGCGGAAGAAGCCAGGGACAAAAAGCCACATATTATATGATTCCATTTATATAAAATGTCCAGAATAGACAAATCCATAGAAAGTAGATTGTGGTTACTGGGTGTGTTAATTTGCTCAGGCTGTCATAACGAAGTACCACAGACTGGGTGGCTTAAGCAATAGAAATTTATTTATTTACTTTTATTTATTTTTTTTTTTGAGGAAGATCAGCCCTGAGCTAACATCCATGCCAATCCTCCTCTTTTTTTGCTGAGGAAGACTGGCCCTGGGCTAACATCCGTGCCCATCTTCCTCCACTTTATATGTGACACCGCCACAGCATGGCCTCACAAGTGGTGCCTCGGTGCGCGCCCGGGATCTGAACCTGGGCTGCCAGCAGCAAAGCGCACACACTTAACCACTACACCACAGGGCAGGCCCCTAGAAATTTATTTTTTCACAGTTCTGGAGGCCAGAAGTCAGAGATCAAAGTGTTGGAAGGGGTGGTTTCATTCTGAGGCCTCTTTCCTTGGCTTGTCGATGGCCATCTTCTTCCTGAGTCTTCACATGGCCTTCCCTCTGTGTGTCTGTGTCCTCATCTCCTCTTAAGACACTAGTCATATTGGATTAGGGCCCACTCTAATGATCTTATTTTTCGTCTTTAAAGACAGTCTCTCCAAATGAGTCACATTCTGAGGTTCTGGGGATTAAGACTTCAACATATGAATGGGGTGGGGGAGACACAATTCAGCCCATAACACAGGAGGAATGGGGAGTGACTGCTAATGAGTATGGGGCTTCCTTTTGGGGTGATGAAAATGTTCTGGAATTAGTGGTCATCAATGCACAAATTTGTGAATGTACTAAAAACCACTGTCCACTCTGAAAGGATGACCTTTGCCCCGGGACAAGAAGGAACCTGGTTTGCAGAGAGGGAGGAGAAATATGGGGTGAGACCAGCTGGTGGGGTTGGCAGGGGCCCTGTTACCTAAGGCCTCTCTCTCAACCCCAGGATCCCCACTACTTCAAGTGTCTGCTCCCTACATAAGACTTTGCCCCTGTCCACGATGTCTGGCATTAAAGCTCATTATTAGGGACTCTTTCAAACTGGGATTAAGATTAGAATTGGGACACTTTTTAAACCTTCAAGAGTCAACTTCTGTCCCTGGTGCGCAGTTCACCGAGGAACAGATGGACACAGCTCGGGCTAACCTCTTCCTAATCAACACAGGGTTTCCTGGGTGCCAGGCACTGTCCTAAGTCCTTGTCAGCTAGTCATTTAGTTCTCCTAACAATCCAGTAAGGTGGGTACTGTTACTCTCTTGCCCAAAATCACACTGTCCACACAGCTAATAAGTAGTGGAATCAGAATTTGAACCCTGGCAGCCTGGCTCCAGTGTCCACGCTGTTACCCACTCTGCTGCCTCAAAAGAACCCTGTGAGTTAGGGTTTATTAGCCTATTATTATCCTCATTTTACAGATGGGGAAACTAGGGCCCAGAGGTGAGTGACTTGTCTTGGGTCATACTATGAGTTAGGACGAGATGTTGGGAATGGTGTGGACATGTGCACGGATAAGTGAGCTTGGTGCCGGGTGAATCACAGGAACAAAACCTGGGGGGAGGGGTGGGTCTGGAGGGGAAGGTTGTGATGGGGGAGAGGCAGGGCTCAGGGCTGGGCACCTGCCCCAGGCTCCCTGATGCCTGTGTGCCCAGCCTCTTCTCTGCTTCCTCCCAGCTCTCAGCCCATCCCAGGAGGTGGCTCCTTGGGCAGGCTGCGGGGATGGCCTGCCCTGTCAGGGGGGTCAAGGTCAGAGGTGCCCAAGAGATGCCCCAGGAGGTGCCCAGGGGCCAGGGTGCCTGCATCCCTGGGAAGCCACCTCCCAGCTTGGGGATTTGTACGGCAGAGGCCCGCGTGACCTTGTGGCTGACATTCCTCAGCGGCCACGTGGCCCCAACTGGCAGGGACAGCTGCAGACAGGGGCCGAACCAGCTTTGTTCCCAGGGTGGCGCCCGCTCTCCATCCAGGCCCTGCTCGGCTCCTGCCTGGCGCTGCTTTCCTTCGGGGGGCTCGGCGGGCAGCTGGCACTGTGGGTTCCCTGCCATGAGTGCCTAGAGGCACGGAGCCACTGGGGGTCTCTCCGCGTGGGGTGCGGGGCTCTGGGAGGATGGGGCAGGACCAGGCAAAGCAGCAGATCGAGAAGGGGCTCCAGCTGTACCAGTCTAACCAGACAGAGAAGGCGCTGCAGGTGTGGATGAAGGTGCTGGAGAAGAGCTCAGACCTCGTGGGGCGCTTTCGCGTGCTGGGCTGCCTGGTCACGGCCCACTCGGAGATGGGCCGCTACAAAGAGATGCTGAAGGTGGGGGCGCCCAGCGGCGGGCATGGGAGGAGGGGCCAGGGCTGGATTTCTCCCGTGCTTCCCGGCCCCCGTCCTGCCTCCTGAGGCTTCCCTGTGTCTCACAGGCTGGTGGCCGTGGCCTGAGACTCTGAATCCACATCTGAGGCCATGGGTCCTAGATGCTGGGTCTTGGCTTCTGGTTCAAGGCCTATGGCCTTGAACTTCAGTGTCTGAGGCTCTGAGACTGAGGTTCTCAGCCTCAGGGTTCAGGAATTTCAAGACCGGCTCTCGGAGTCTGGGTTCCAGCCTTCCTTTTGGGGGTTCTGAGTCTGAGCCTGGGGCGGCCGGCTCCAGGTTTGAGGCTGGGGGTGGGTGGTGGAGACCGCAGATCTAGGCTGGGGGTGGACAGGTGAAAGCGATGGGTCTGAGCTTGGGAAGTGGAGGCTCCGGAGGTGAAGCTTCTAGTATAGGGATGGGGAGAAGAGAATGAATCTGGGGCTGGGGGTGGAAGCTCAGGGTCTGAGGCTTGGAGGGGTGGAGGCTCGGATTCGCGGCTCAGAGCCCAGGCTGACAGCCACCTGCCCACCACCCTGGTGAGCAGTTTGCTGTGGTACAGATCGACACTGCGCGGGAGCTGGAGGATGCCAACTTCCTCCTAGAGAGCTACCTGAACCTGGCGCGCAGCAACGAGAAGCTGTGCGAGTTTCACAAGACCATCTCCTACTGCAAGACCTGCCTCGGCCTGCCTGGCACCAGGGCAGGTGCCCAGCTCGGAGGCCAGGTCAGCCTGAGCATGGGAAATGCCTTCCTGGGCCTCAGCCTCTTCCAGAAGGCCCTGGAGAGCTTCGAGAAGGCCCTGCGCTATGCCCACAACAACGACGATGCCATGCTCGAGTGCCGCGTCTGCTGCAGCCTGGGCAGCTTCTATGCCCAGGTCAAGGTGGGCCCGGGCCCCAGGGGGAGGGCGATGGAGGGCTCGGCTCCCTGAGAGCCTCTCGTGAGCCGTGCTCCCCGTTGCATTGCCTCGTCTGGTCCTCGCATTTAGGCAGGGACGAGGTGGACACGAGTCCGAGAGGGAAAAGACTTACGCAGGAAGGTAAAGACTTAGCCAGGAAGGGTAGAGCCAGAATTCAAACCTTGATCTGTCTGACTTCCTGGGGGAGTGGGAGGCTCCTGCGTGAGGACAGGCCATGAACCTGCACTGCCACGGGTTTGCTGTGTGATCTGTGTGAGGACATGTCACCTGTCCTGTCTGAACCTTGGTAGGTCTATCTGTAAAATGAGGGAGAATAGGACCCACCTTACAGCATGGTTGTCAGCATTCACTCATCAAATATTTATTGAGCATCTACTATATCCCAGGCGCTGTTGGCCTGGGGTGCCAGCAGTGAAAATGACAGCAAAGTCCCTGGCCTCAGGAAGCTTGAGTTCTAGTGAGGGAGAACAACAAATAAACACAATCAGTAAGTCAATTACAGAGCATGCTAGAAAGTGCTTAGGAGAAAGGAAAGCAGTTAAAGGGGGTGGGAAGTGCTGAGGATGAGGTGGTGTAATTTCAAACAGGGTGGGTGGGAGGCCTCATAGAGAGGATGTCTGATGACTTGACGGAGATGAGAGGGTGAGCCATACAGAAATCTGGCAAAAGAGCGAAAAAGAAGGAACAGCTAAAACAAAGCTCTGCTCTTGGGGGAGCACACTTGGCATGTTCCAGGAAGGATGAAGGCCAGCATGGCTGCAGCAGGTGCATGAGAAGGAGGTAGGAGGTGGTGGGTCCGAGAGGTATGGGGAGGGGAGAAGTCAGATTCTGAATGAACTGATGGGGCCAGTGACCATAGGCTTTTGGTCAGGAGCATCCCTTCTCCTTCCCCCTAGGCATCCAGGCTGCACTTGGCCCATAGGGGATGTTGATGCATGGCACATAGTAGGTGCTTAATAAATCTTGGAGTAGATGAGTGTGTCGATGCTGGTGGATCAGAGGTGGGGTGCAAGACAATGAGAGTCATTCAGGACGACGCCGAGGATTTTGTTTTCAGCAGCTAGACGTATAGGGAAGCCATTCAGTGAGATGCGGTAGGATTGAAGAGGGATACGGGGTGTTTTAAAACCTTTTTTATTATTATGCAGAAAATTAACCATCAGGAAGGTAGAGAGAATAATATAATAAATCTCAGTATACCCACCACTTAGATTTAACCATTATTAATATTTTGCTATATTTGATTTCTTTATTTTTAACTGGAGTGTTGTGATATAAAATTATAGACATCATGATGTTTTACCCCAAAGTAGTTTACTATGTATTGCTGGGAAAAAAAAAAAAAAGAACATTTTCTTATATAAGGACACTTTCTTACATAATCACAATATGAGCAATTATCTCTTCAATTCCTCTACTTATCCTGAGAATATGCGTTTACCCTCGGCTTGTTTGAATTGGAACACAGACAAGAGTCACACACTGCAGTGGATATTATGTCTCTTAAGTCTCTCTCAATAGAAAATTCCTACCCTCCTCTTTATTTTTCATAGTTTATTGAAGAAGCCAGATTATTTGCCTTATAGAATGTTCCATCTTATTGTCTCACTGCTTCCTCAAGGAACCATGTAACTTGTTCCGTTATCTCTTTTACTTCCTATGAACTGGAACTTAAATAATGACTTGGTAAGATTGAGGTCACACATTTTTGGTAAGAATACTGTCTAAGCGTTGCTGTGTTCTTCATATTACATCATATTGGATGGTTGAGGGAGTGACAACCTGATCCCTCTGTTTTAGGGTTTGTGTTTTTCCTTTCATGACCAGCAGGTTAACTTGTGGGGTGACACTTTGGCACCCTGTGACTATTCAGTTCTGCAACAAGATTTTCTGTAATGATTTCAGCATCCATTGATGTTTGTTGCCTGAATCAATTCTTTCATTTCAATTCTAATGAAATGGTGATTTCCAAGTTCTAGCATTCCTTCTACAATTATTAGCTGGGGTTTTTCTCTAAGGAAGAACTTTCCCTGATCAATTAGGGCTAGTTGGTTGTTCTGAAATACAGGTCCTAAAAGAAAGGCAGAATAAGTATGTTTCCCCTTTCCTTTAATTACCCCTTTTTAGAATAAGGAGTTGATGTAATAACTGCCTTCAATGGCCACACTTATTTGTTTTGCTGTCTCTCTTTGGAGTATCATTATGAAATCATGGATTTTTTTATATTTAGTATTTTTCAGTTAATTGCAATCGTTGTTCTTTTTGATGCTCGTATTATCTTAACTTTAGCCAATGGAATTCCCTTCCATATTGCTCCTGTGTCCTCTTGAGAAGACTTCATTTAGTCTTTGCAAGGTTTCTTGTTTTCTGGCACAATAAACTCGCCCAGGCTCATTTTGTGTATTCCCTGCCCCCGATCTGGAAGCAGCCGTTTCTCTGGGTTCTTTTTAGCGGGGAATGGTATTTAAAGACCAAACACAGGCTCTCACGCTGCTCATTGCTACTGGGTGGTCATTGCTTCTCCATCGTTTCAGTTGCCAGGACAACTCAAGTTTATATTGCTATTTCCAATTCAAATCTAATGCTTCAGGATTTTCCTTAATTGATTTTAAATTTGATTCTCTTTTCTCCTAGACTGAAGATCTTGGTTTCTAACAACATAATTAAATATTTACTTTATCCTACAAAATACATAAAATACTTTCAAAAGACAATACCAATATTTCTCAAAAAGACATCTGAAGGAAGTTTAAGATTTTTTTTGCCATTCTTTGTCTTTATAATATATTCCACTATGGATAAACTGTCCAAGTATATGCTCTAAGGTCATTTGAAATAATTATTTTTTTCTGTGTGGTTATATGAATATAATATAATGCAATATAATATATTGTAATATTATTTACAGTATGCAATAATATTATATTGTGTTATAATACTTTACTGCATTATATTATAATGTTATTACATATAACATTAATATATTATAATATAACTGTTTATTATATATAAAATTATTATTATTAATTATAATATAATATTAATATAATGATATGCAGTTAGGGTCACTTATTTCCATTTTCTATTTTTAAGATTTTTAAATTTTAATTTAATTTTGTAAACCTGTAAAACATTTACATGGCTTCAAATTAAAAAGTAAATAACAAAGTATGTTAGGAACAGGTTTTTATTGGGGTTATTGAGAGTTCTCTTTTGCTCATATTAGCTCAAGGGTGCTTGTTAGATATGAAGTGGAAGATTGAATAGGTTTTCTATGAGAAAGAACAGAGAAATGGGACTATAGCTGAAGGGGACATGAGGTCAAAAGAAGGTTGTTTGATTTTGAGAAATCAAAATGATTTGAGAAATCAAAACAGAAATGTTTTCATTTTTTAAATGAGGTGATAAATGCTGATGGGAAAGACTCAGTAGAAAGAGATGGGGAATTGGGTGTGGGGGATTGGTTCAGAGCCCCCGTGGAGAGGCTCACATTTGATAGGAGCAGGGAGCCCTCCTCCACAGTAGCAGGAGGGACACAGAGTGGGGACAGGGAATATACATCTGGTGAGACGGATAAGGGAGCCCCTCTCTGATTTTCTCCTGTTTTCACAATGGCGTATAAGGCGAGGTCATCAGTTCATAATGGGTAGGTAGAAAAGGCGTTGGGAGGTTTGAGGAGAAAGAGAGGATGAGAGAATGATTTCATTGCCGCAGTGAGTCTGTCCTGATGTTCTGAGCCGACCGCGCTGGCAATGTTACGGAGCCTTCAGTGAGCAGCTGCTGCTGGGGGCCAGGAGGCAAACTCTAGTGGGGGTGGGGGGCTCTGACATCCCCCCTCTGAGTGTCTCTGAAGCTGAGGGGCCCCACTGGGACTGAGTGAGAAGAGAAGCCAACTATCTTTTCTTGCCTTCTCGTTCATTCGTTCAATATTTATTGTGCATCTACTAAGTGCCAAGCACTGTACTAGGCTCTTGGGATACTCAGCAAACCAGATGAAAATCCCTGTGTCCACGGAGCCCACACCTTTGCACTGGCTGTTCTGTCTGCCTGGATCACTCTTTCCCTGGATACTAGAATGAATGAACGAACACGCAGTGGGGCCTATGGGCCTGTGGCTGCCAGAGAAGCCAGGCCCTGGAGTGCTCGACTTAGGGGCAGCTTCTGCCACTCAGAGCGCCCCCCGCTCATCCCGCCCCCTCCCTGTGTCCCTGCAGGACTACGAGAAAGCCCTGTTCTTCCCCTGCAAGGCTGCAGAGCTCGTCAGTGACTATGGCAAAGGCTGGAGCCTCAAGTACCGGGCCATGAGCCAGTACCACGTGGCTGTGGCCTATCGCCTGCTGGGCCACCTGGGCAGTGCCATGGAGTGCTGTGAGGTGGGGCACAGGGAAGCGGGCTGGTGGAGGGTGGTGGTGTGGCCAGGGTCTGGGACCGAGGGCAGCAGGGCCTCCTCCTTCCAAATCAGCCCACTGAGGGCCCCCAGGCTTGCCCCGGCCCAGCCTCTCTGTAGTTGAGCCTCTGAAGGATGCGTTTGTTCTCCCCTCCCCCCTGCCCCAAACTTCACTCCCTTCCAGTCCATTCTCAGTGGAGGGGGCTTCCCTCTGCATACCCCCCCACCACACCCTCTGTGGGGCACTTTACGTAGGAAGAAAGCCACTCTTTGGAGTTCTGCTGACCTGGGTTCCAATCCCAGCTTTGCCACTCACGAGCCAGGTGACCTTGATCGAGTCACTTCTGCTCTCTGAGCCTCAGTTTCCACTTCACTGGGGCTGCGAGGCCTCAGTGATTCAGCGCGTGGGGCCCAAGCACCATGATAAGTGTATTGGGCTCTGAGGCTGTTGGTGATCCCTGGGCTGCCCGTCAGAGGGGCCCAGTGGGTGAGGGCGCCCCAGTAGTGGGGGCAGATGAGCGGGCCTGAGTGACCGGTGTCCCTCGCAGGAGTCTATGAAGATTGCGCTGCAGCATGGGGACCGGCCACTCCAGGCGCTCTGCCTGCTCTGCTTTGCTGACATCCACCGGAGCCGAGGGGACCTGGAGGTGAGGTCACTGGGAGGTGGGGCGGGGCTGTGTGCAGGCCCCGCCCCGCCTGACTCCACCCCCCACCTGGCTGTGCAGACAGCCTTCCCCAGGTACGACTCCGCCTTGAGCATCATGACCGAGATCGGAAACCGCCTGGGGCAGGTGCAGGTGCTGCTGGGCGTGGCCAAGTGTTGGATGGCCAGGAAGGCGCTGGACAAGGTGAGGTGGGGCCCTTGCCTACAGCCCCAGCTCTCCCCAGTGCTCGCCTTTGGGGTCAGTATGTCAGCAAACAATCTATCTAAACCACTTTTGTCTAACATCAGCCTCAGCCCTCTCCCGTGAGGCCAGGACGTTCCAAGTCATTTTCCAGGCTCAGAGAAGGCCCATGACTTGCCCAGTCACACAGCTAGTAATGGACCAGAGCTGGGGTTTGAACTCAGGATGTTCTAACTGCTTCCCATGGTTTCACAACACCCCACCAGACAGGAATAGTCTTCCCATTCTTTATCTGAGTAAACTGAGGCAGGAGGTAACTTGCCCACACAGCTCTTGCAACTGCGCCCCAGAATCTTCCTGCTACTTTCGCTGCCCAGCCCTGTCACCCTCCCTAGTCCTGCCCCGCCCCCCTTCCTTTCCTATGAGCCAAGGCTTCATCAGATAGCTCTGCCTGCAGCCCTGGCCTGTGCTCGCCTTCCAGGCTCTGGATGCCATCGAGAGAGCCCAGGACCTGGCCGAGGAGGTGGGGAACAAGGTCAGACCGCATTCTGTCTTCTGGATCTGGAGTCAAGAGCCCAGGGTGGGATCTTCAGTTGGGGTGAGGGCCCCCTGGGCCCACTCAGGCCCTGAGCCCTTCCTGATCTCTAGGAGCCACCTCTGCCATCCCCAGACCCCAGCTGTTTCTCTCCCACCCAGAGAGCGCTTGGGAGTGCAGGGCAAGAAATCCATAGCGCAAAGGATATCAGAATTCCTCAGAGGCTTCTCAGTAGTAGTAACACTCCCAACAGTGGCCTCCACTTGCTGAGAGCTGGGCACCACAGGGCTCTCCTAGGTATCGCTTCCTCCTTCACTGTCTCCCTGCAAGGTGGGTCCAGGGAGCCCCATTTTACAGATGAGGAAATCGAGGCTCAGAGAGGTGCCCAAGGACCCACACCTGGTAACTGGACTGTCTTAACTCCAAAGATGTATGCCTCTCCAAATTTAATAATCATATCCAAACCTTTAAATGCTGACATAGGTTCAGTGTTTCTCAGCCTTCTAGAAGATGTGCATTTCTCTGGGATCAGGCGCACAGTCCAACTAAAATGCCAAATAGATATGCCTGTGGCTGGATTATAGCCACTCGGGTTTATCCAAGTATCTCGGGCTGATCAGAAATGCTGAGCTATTGTGTGTATTTAATTAACAAAAACAGGAAAGCAAATTAATTATTATGGAATCAATGCAGCAGATTTGGTCAATTAAATTCTTCAAACGCATGGGGTCCCCAGCCGGTTCTAGGGGTGAGGACCACTTACCTCCCCCCCACCTCATTCTGCATGAGCGGAAACCACGGCCCAGAGAGGGCAGGACGTTTTTCCTAGGTCCATCAGCAAGGCAGGGACACTGCCAGCACTGGACCCCGTGTGTGCTGACTGCCCGGTGGCCCCGCGGGGACAGGAGGGAAGCGGCATAGCTGCTCACGACACTGACTTGGTCTGTCCCCGCCGGCCCAGCTGAGCCAGCTCAAGCTGCACTGCCTGAGCGAGAGCATCTACCGCAGCAAGGGGCTGCAGCGGGAGCTGCGAGCCCACGTCGTGCGCTTCCACGAGTGCGTGGAGGAGACCGAGCTCTACTGCGGCCTGTGCGGCGAGTCCATAGGCGAGAGGAACAGCCGGCTGCAGGCCCTGCCCTGCTCCCACATCTTCCACCTCCGGTGAGGGCTCCCAGCGGCGGGCGGGGGGCACACGGGGCCTCTCTGGTACCCTAGGCCCGATCACACTGGTCATGCTAACAGCAGACACTTACACGGTCCTTTCCGCGTCCCAAGCGCATCCTAAGAGCTTCCCATGTGTTAACTCATGGAATCCTCCCAGCGGCCCTACGAGGAGGCCGTTCTTCTTATTCTCCTCAAAGAGGATTCGGAGAAGCCTCTCAAAGGTCGTGGGATTCAGACACCCAGGGTCAGACTGGCCTCCATCCCGACCTCCTGACTCCCAGCCCAGGCTCTGCCCTGGAAGTCCCCCCACCCCTGGGCAGAGTGCGAGGGGCAAGCAGGGGCCCATCCGCTTCCCTTGATGCCTTCCCAGCCCCTGCAGAGGGGAGGAGAGGAGAGAGAGCCTGGTCCCAGGGTGGAAGGACTGGCTCGGTGAGCGGATAGAGCCCTTTGCTTCCCAAGGTGCCTGCAGAACAACGGGACGCGGAGCTGCCCCAACTGCCGCCGCTCGTCCTTGAAGCCTGGCTTCGTGTGACTCCGTCAGCAGGTTTGGGCTTCCGCCCGGAAGCTTCCACCTTGCCTCTTCTCCACCGTCACCCTGGAGACTCCTGACCTGCCATGCCTCGGATGCCTGTTTACTCCTGGGGCAGCCGCCAGGGCCTCCCCACTGTGCCCCTCGAGGCCCAGCTGCCCACCCCTGCCTCTTTGTACTTTGCTCTTTATAGAAAAATAAATCGTTTGTACTCGTCCCAGCAATTCTGACTTTCCGTCCCGTGGTCTGAGCGGGTCAGGGAGAGTGGGAGTGAAGCACCCCACGTGAGCTTCCTTAGACACACACATCCCTCTGCGCGCATGTATGAGTGCTTCCAGCTGGCCTTCCAGGTTCTTGGGGTACCACAGTGAGCCAGAGACAAAGATCTCTGCCGGTGAGGGGATGCTGACATGCAGGGGCGGGAGGAGGATGCGATAAACAGTGAACATAATAAACAAGCAACATAGAAAGTCTTTTAGAGAAATGTTATGGCCTGAATTGTGTCCCCTAAAATTCATATATTGAAGCCCTGAGCCTCAATGTGACTGAGTTAGGAGACAGGGTCTTTAGGGAGGTAATTAAGGTTAAATGAGGTCATAAGTGTGAGGCCCTCATCTGTTAGGACTAGTGTCCCTATAAGAAGAAGAGACACCAGAGAGCTTTCTCTCTCTGTGCTGCACAGAGAAAAAATTGTGTGAGGACACAGTAAGAAGGCAGCCATCTGCAAGCCAGGAAGAGAGGCCTCACCAGAAATGGAATTTTCCAGCACCTTAATCTTGGACTTCCCAACCCCCAGAACTGTGAGGAAATAAATTTCTATTGTTTAAGCTGCTCAGTCTGTGGTATTTTCTATGGCAAAACTAGCAGACAAATACAAAAGAGACAAGTGCTTTGGAACAATAAAGAATAGAGCCGCGTTCCTCTTCCTCATCTTTATTCCCTTCCCTTCTCCTCAGTCCTAAAACCATTAGGTGGGACAGACCAAGATAGACATCCATGTGCAGGGGTGGCCTGGTGTGGGGTGTTGGAACCCAAGCAGGGTGAGGTGATGTCCACACAGGGGAAGCCCTAGTGGGGGCAGATAGAGGCTGCGTGGAGAGAGAAAGGTGTCCACACATATGGGTGCCTCATCCTGAAGTGTCAGAGAACAAGTAGGATGAGAAAGGAGGTCACTCAAGGGCAAGGCCTGGGGCTGGGTATTGGAGCCAAGCAAGGCGAAGAGGACGTCCACGCAGATGTGTGGTCTGGGAGCTGGGGCCTGAACAGGGCGAGGAGGGTGTCTATGCATAGGGCAGCCTGGTGCGGTGTGTCAGAGTCAGAGCAGGGTGCTGAGGACACCCCGGAGGAGGAAGGCGTAGCACCAGGATCTGGAGCCTGAGCAAAGTAAGAAGGGCATCCACGTGGTGGTGGTGGGTGTGGTGCGGCCCAGTGCAGAATGTCAGAGACCAAGCCGGGTAAGGAGGGCAGCCTGGCATGGGTCTTTGGCGCCTAAGCAGAATAAGGAGGCATCCAAGTTGGGGAAGGTGAGGTGTGAGGTGTCAGAGCTTGAGTGGAGTGAACAGGGCATGCACGTGGGGCGTTCGAGCAAATATGGAGTGGAGAAGGATCTGTGCATGGAAGGGAGTGCAATGAGAACTTGGTTACACAGAGGATATTGATCAAATAAGTAAAGAGGTGAAGGGTAATGGGAACTGGGTCACTATTGAAGAAGAGAGTTACAAATAAGAAAAGGGAGAAAACCAGAAGGGACCCTGTGGTATTGAACTGGAATTGTAGGGATCAGTATGAACTCCTGGATTTCAAAATATATAGCTAAATAGAGAAATAAATATAGTTACAAACGTGTGTGTGTGTGTGTGTGTGTGCACGCGTGCATGTGCGCACTGGCCTGGGAGTGACATGCCAGTAGCAATGAGCACGTCCAGCACCTAGATCTTGGCTTCTTTTTTTTTTTTTTTAAAGATTTTTTTATTTATTTATTTTTTCCCCTCAAAGCCCCAGTAGATAGTTGTGTGTCATAGCTGCACATCCTTCTAGCTGCTGTATGTGCGATGCGGCCTCAGCATGGCCGGAGAAGCAGTGCATCGGTGCGCGCCCGGGATCCGAATCCGGGCCGCCAGCAGTGGAGCGCACGCACTTAACCGCTAAGCCACGGGGCTGGCCCTAGATCTTGGCTTCTAAGTACCACGTTCCACTAAAAGGAACCAAGTCTCTTTGGAGAAATGGCTGGTGCTAGGCCTGGACCAGGGAGAGTATAAGATGAGCCTGGAATATCATGTGTCAGAAACCAAAGGAAGCTGAAAGAATGGTGAGAATAACTCTAAAGGACACGGGAACCAGCTTGAATGGGCTCCCACTGTCCCATTAATAATGATTAATAATAATTGTCCTCAGGGCCAGCCCAGTGGCGTGGTGGTTAAGTTTGCGCGCTCTGCTTCAGCAGTCCAGGGTTCGCAGGTTTGGATCCCGGACACAGACCTACGCACCACTTATCAAGCCATGCTGTGGCAGGCGTCCCATGTATAAAGTAAGAGGAAGTTGGGCACAGGTGTTAGCCCAGGACCAATCTTCCTCAGGAAAAAGAGGAGGATTGACAACGGAGGTTAGCTCAGGGCTAATCTTCCTCACCAAAAAAAAAAAAAACAACGATTGTCCTCATCAGCTCAGGCTGCCATAACACAATACCATAGACTGGGTGGCTTAAACAACTGAAATTTATTTTCTCACAGTTTTGGAGGCTGGAAGTGCAAGATCAAGATCCCAGCAGGGTTGGCATCCGGTGAGGACTCTCTCCTTGGGTTGTAGACGGCCACCTTCTCACAGTGTTCTCACGTGTCCTTTTCTCTGTGATTGTGGTTGGGAGGAGAGAGAGAGAGACACAGAGAGAGACAGAGAGATATCTCTTCCTCTTCTTATAAGGCCACTAATCCCATTATGAGGACCCCACCCTTGTGACCTAAACTAACCCTGATTACCTCCTAAAGGTCCCATCTCCAAATACCATCACCTTGGGGGTTAGGGCTTCAACATGTGACTTTTTGGGGGACACAAACGTTCAGTCCATAGCAATGATTTTATTGGATAATACAACAATCCATACTGATGTAAATAAATAAATGAATAAATTAAAAATTTGATGAAGAATGGGATATTTACATAGTTCCAAAGAGCTTCCCCACAAAATACTTGTTAATTTCAAGGGGAAGAGAGAGGACCTTCACAGTGGAGAAGGTTGGCAGACACCAGATTAACCAAGTGGGAAAGGCTGACGTCTCCAGTAATGGGACACGATGAAATCAGGTGCTGCCTGAACCAATGCAGTGAAAGCCTCACCGTCTCCTCTGTGCTATTCCTGCCAAAGATGAATCATGAGGGAACATCAGATAAACACGAATTCAGAAATATTCTACAAAGTAACTGTAGTCTTCGAAAGTGTCAAGGTCATGAAGCCAAGGAAAGACTGAGAAACGTTTCCAGATTGGAAGAGACTAAAGCCTGCAACTAAATACAACACTTGAGTCTGGTCTTGATTCTGGACTGGATCCCTCTGCTGTAAAGGACGTTATTGGGACAATTGGTGAAACTTGAATGGGGCCTGAGGACTAGATGGTAGAAACACATCAACGTTAACTTCCTCCTGTGAAGGTTGTCTTGTGGTTAAGCAGGAAAATGACCCGGATTGTAGGAAATTCCCACCTGAGCATTCGAGGTGATGTGGTATCCGGTCAGCAATTTGCTCTCAAATGGTGCAAGGAAAAAAGTTACTTGTATTGTATTTGCAACTTTTCTCTGGGTTTGAGATTGTTTTCAAAATAAAAATATATAATTTAGGGCTGGCCCCGTGGCTTAGCGGTTAAGTGAGCGCGCTCCAGTGCTGGCGACCCCAGTTCGGATCCCGGGCGCGCACCGACGCACCGCTTCTCCGGCCATGCTGAGGCCGCGTCCCACATACAGCAACTAGAAG